TCCCCCCGGCTGCGCCAGCCTTGGGTGTTTTTTCCGAGGAATTTCTCAGGGGCCCCCCAGGGGTCCCGGGGGCCGCGGCAGGGGTGAGTCAGCGCTGACGCACGCCCAGCTGCGCGCATCTGGCCGGGCGCCGCGCCCCGCCCCGCAGGGCTTAGGATGGGGGGCGTCCCGGGTGCGGCAGACCTCGCGGTTTCTCAGAGGACGATGGGCCTTCCTTTATCTGAGAGACCCCAGGCTGGACCCTTCCAGAAATCCCTCTCTAGGGTGAGCTCAGTCCCCCAACACCCCCCCCACCTCAAGCCCCACTTTCTCCCTTTCTCCAGAGTCCAGGGAGGTCCCGACCGCGTGGAGAATCCCAAATCGCCTTGCCCCGTTCCCACGCTCCCACATACACTGGGCGTGCCATCTCTGGAGTCCATTCGGAATACGAGCCCCTGGGGACACCAGGAATGTGAAACACCGTGCCCAGGCAGCCCCTTCGGGGTTGCCTGCCACGCGGTCCCAGCTTTTGTCACCCTCCTACGCGTCCAGATTCTCACACTTGCTGCTTTGGGCATCCCCGCAAACACAGTCCACATTCACTACCGGTCACCCACTCACTGACTTGGTCACACTGAACCACACTCCCCCACCAGGATCTCTGCTGCTGCCATCAGAGACTGGCCTACAAGCTGCAGGGGTCACAGAGCCATGCATCCAACACCTGCACTTCCCCCCTGCGTGAGGGCAAACCGCGTGCACATGTTGACGTCTCTAGAAATGACACGCCCTGGCCCGTTCAGACACCCATCATTGCACGTCTCACACACACCTGTGGTGGGTTCCGGCCTTGCCCCTGCCCACACCTCTCCACATCCCAGGCCCCACCCAGTGTGGCCCTGGGGGTCCCTGGCCAGCACAGGGGAGAGTGGGGGGTGGGCCCTTGACAGACCCCTACCACCGGCCCCACGGGCAGGACTCAATGCCTCTTGTGTGTCTCCTTGTCATGAAGCCAGCCGTGAAAAGAAAGGGCAGTCAGTTTCTGAAATGTCATCCCAGAGGGCACACAAGCTTCTAGCAGGAGGCCTCTGTGTTAGATGCAGGGAAGGACTTTCCCAGTGTGCATGAGGGTTGGTTGGGGAGACCCCTTCCCACTCCAGAGAGACTGGGTCTGGGCCAGGGAAAGCCTCCTGTGCTGGGTGAGGTCGTGGGTCCCAGCTTGCAGGGGTGTGGGGGATGGCCAGAGGATTGTACCACGGGGGAGTGACTTTTGTGGTTGGCAGAGCCTGGGAGTCCAGATCTCAGCCCCAGGGGGCTGCAGCCCAGATTCCTCTTAATGATAGCCCAGCCACAGAGCAGGCTATTAGAGATGGGGTGTGGGGGGGTGTGGGTGGAGGAAGGGGGAAAGAAGGGGGGAGGGAGGGAGGGAGGGAGACAGAGAAGGGGGGGAGAGACAGAGACTGACAGAGAAAGAGAGAGGGGGGGAGGGAGGAGAGAGAGACAGAAAGAGAGAGAGAGAAAGGGAGAGACACAGAGAGGGAGAGAGATGGGGGAGGGAGGAGAGAGAGAAAATGAGAGGGAGGGAGAGAGAAATTGAGGGAGGGAGAGAAAGAAAGAGGGAGGAAGGGAGAGATACATGGAG